AGTGAAGTATCTCAAGAATGGAAAAACCAGCACCACATGTACTCACCAGCAAATTGGTATTAACGGATCAACACCTAAGTGGACATATAGGAGTAACATTTATTGGGTGTCGGGAGGGTGGGAGGGGGGAGGAGGGGGTGGGTGTATACAATTACAACGAGTAAGATGTACAACGTTTGGGCGATGGACACGCTTAAAGCTCTTACTCGAGGGGGGAGGGGGCATGGGCAATATAAGTAACCTTAACACTTGTACCCCCATAATACACTAAAATAAAAAAATTTAAAAAAAGGATGTTTGGGGGGAAAAAAGGCTGTACAGACAGCAAAAAAAAAAGATGTATGTGCCATATCAGAAACATGAAGTAAAATTTAAAATATTAATAGTAAAATAATATATTCAGTCACATCACTGTATATAATCCTGTTTAAGGAAGGGTTCTTTCCTTTGTTTGCTTAACTTAGTCTAAAATTCCATCAGGTATCTGTGGTGTCATTGTAAGATTTTAAACCAAGGAGATTAGCTCACTATGTTAAAGAGGAAAATTCTTTCTGTTCAGAAACGTTAGTAAAAATGGGTTGAAATATTGAATATCATTCCTCTCAAGTAAAGCTGACAGAATATAAATCACTCTTAATGTGTCTTATCCTCTTTAAAAAATGCACCAGGAGAAAATGGTCTCTGCTCTTTACATGCTTTGAAGGGGTTTAATCCGAATTTGTCTTCTGAATCTTATCTGTAAAACAAAGGGCACTGAAGATGGAAGCATGAGGTTGCATTCTCATAGCAAATGGGATTTGGGGTTCACTTGACACGTTGCCTAATCCAGAGGAGATCATAATCCCAGAACAGTTGTCAAACTGGGAGCCAGTTCTGGGTTTTCCCATCATCTGACATTTTCTGACTTTTTGTCTAGACCTAGAATCCACTTTGATGCTAATCAGATTGATAGAGTTGTCAGGCTGGCAGGATCAACTGACCCAGTGCAGATAAATTACCTAGTTCTCAAAACATGAGCAGCCCCTAGTAAGAGTTGATCCTTGTTAAGAGGAAGAATTAGGATCCCCTATTCATGGCCAAAATCACTTTTAGTTACAAGTGCACATATTCCCCCCCCCAAAAAAAATTCTCTAAGATATTCTCCACTTAACAATTAAAACATTAAATATTTATGTTCTAAAAAGAAAATAGATTTTAATAAGCCAGGGAGCCTACTATATTGAAGGCTATAATTTATTAGAATAATCCAAATATGATTACTTTCTCAAATTAGAAACACTAATCATTTCAGCGAGTTAGTCTCTGTTTGGTTCCTTTGGTCGAGACTCATGTACCCCCATGCATGAGTGTTGCTAAGCCAGTATGATCCCAACAACCTTAAACATCTCTTTTATTTGCCGACCTACACAGTTTGGACTTAATCAGCATTCAACAAATGAACCTAATTACATCTAATATTGGCTACATGGAGAATTGCCTGACAATTAGCAGTGGGAGAATGGAGAGTGCTTGATAAACTAAAGCCCCAGAAAATCTTTAGGAGTCAGAATGGTGAGATATTTTAAGACAGAAATCAATCATGTAGATTTCAATTCTGGATTCCTAAAAACAGATGTTGCGGAGGATTTCAGATGTAGACGGATGACCTCTTCTTTTCACAAGTTACCCAGTAAAGCGTGTTATTGAAAATCTGTGGTTAACTGACACAGAGAGGTGTGATGCCCTATAGTTCATAAATCTGTGATCATGATAGGCCCTATAGACTGATATGACCAAGATTGGAGTTTTCTGTAAAAAAAAAAAAAAAAAAAAAACTTACAAACACTCCATGGCTGAACTAAGATAATGTTAAAATTAGTGAGAGATCTTGCAACAGAAGCCAAAAGCAGAGATATCCAGAATTTGGGAAATGTTCAAGTGCCAATGTCATTCAGATTTTATTGACTTTAGGGACTAAAAAGGAAACTGACCCATAGGAAGTATCTCTGATGCAAGACAAGGTACTAGATGCTTTACATGGACATTATTTCTTTTAATCTTAACAGAAACCCTATGACGTATGTATTATTAAGGTTATTAAGTATTAAATGTTCGGTTTCCTTAAGTACTAAGTTTGACAGTTGCTATTTCTGACATTTCACTTTGACACATCTTGTTTTATTTTTGTTGCGAAGGCACAGCCTCCTTCTCTCAAAAACATAGTTTGGCCTGTGATTATCTTTCATATTTTTTAGAACATTTTTGTGAAACCATGAGTGAGTCAAAAATTCGTGTTATTTTGAATATGAGTTCCATCGTGGAACCAATGTAGTGTATACGGCTGAAAATATCAACGAAGTGTTTGGGAAGGATGTGGCTGATGAAAGCACAATATGTAGATGGTTTGAGAGGCTTCATTCTTGTCTTTAACCTTGGAAATGAGCCACATCTACGGACTGAGACCAAGATGGAAAATGATGAGCTGAAAGCTATAGTGGAAGTGAATCCATCTCAAACTATATGTGAATTAACGGCAAGGTTGGACATTACTGTTTCAACAATATTGGACCATTTGAAACAAATTGGCAAGGCAAAGAAGCTGGATAGATGGGTACCATGTGAATTAAACAAGTGTCAAAGGGAAATCATCATCTGGAAGCTTGCTTTTCTTTTGCTGTCATGACATAAAGGCGAACGATTCTTACACTACATTGTTATGTGTCATGAAAAATAATTCTTTCTGACAATTGCAAGCATTCATCACAATGGTTGAGTAAAGATGAAGTGCCAAAACACAGTCTAAAACTGAATACTCATCAACAAAAAGCTAATGGTGTCTGCTTGGTGGTCCAACACTGGTATTATCCACTACAGCTTCAGGAAACCTGGTTAATCGATTACAGTGGATGTTTACTGCAACCTATCGTATGAAATGATGAGGATGCCTGCCATTAAGCAGCCAAGACTGGTCAATAGAGACAAGTCAATCTTCTTGCAAGACAACACTCGACCACATGTCACACAAACAACACTGCTCAGACTACAGAGGCTGCACTTGGACACTCTCTGTCATCCACTGTATTCACCAGACCTTGCACCAACTGGCTACCGCTTCTTCTAGGCTTTGGATCACTTCTTGCAAGGAAAAGCATTCAATTCTCAACAAGTTGTGGAAAACACCTTTTGCAATTTCATTGCCACTTCACTGCTGGCATTAACAAGCTACCATTAATATGGCAAAACTGTGTCAATAGCTTAGGCACATACTTTGATTAATTGCACTGCTTCTTGTTTGAGATATAATAAACTACACTTTTGATTTGAAGTCAGACATTCCATATTTGATGACCTAATATTAATCAGAAAATTTGCATAATTTATTTTAGTGCGTTATAGAACTAGGGTTCAAACCCAGGCCAGTGTGACTCCAAAACCCGTGTATTTCCCACTGTACTACACTGTTTACATGGAGGAGGCGACAGGCATCAGACAGTAAGTAAAATGAAGTCAGCTAACTTAGAGAAGCATTCATGCTTTGGCCTAACAATATTACTGTAGTAATTTACTTTAGAACATATCTGCACAAACCCAAAATATAATGCACAAAGTTATTGACAGCTGTGTCATTTATAAAAACTTGGTAAAAAACACAAAATGTCTCCCGATAAGGGAGGGATTGAATAAGATATGATGCATTTGTATATTACAATGCTATGCAGCCACATAAAAACAATGAAGAAGATAACTATATATGTGCATGGAGTAATCTGTAGCAAAAATTGTTAATTAAAAAAAATGTTCAACACTGTGCATAGTGTTAACATTTATGTGAGAAAGGAGAGGAAATAAGAATACATATATTATTTTTTATATTATACACACACTTACAAGGAGAGTCCCCAGAAGAAAGGACCAGAAATTAGTAAGAATGCTTACCTAGAGGTGGTAGAGGGATAGGTGGTGAGGCAACAGAGACAGAAAGTACATTTCTATGAGCTTGTATTTTGACTTTTGAACTGTGTAAATGTCAGATGGCTTAAAAATAAATGATAATGAAAAAGGTAAACAAAACAATCAAATCCTTAAAATGAAAACTATCTGAAACAAATGAACCTAATTACATCTAATATTGGCCACATGGAGCAAATATAATTATTTCAGTGGCGTTACGAAACAGCACGGACCCAACACTCACAATGGGATACATTCTAAGGCAAACAGAAATACAAACAGACCTGCACTTTATCCAGAAATTTTGTGGGTTTTTTTAGTGGTGATATCTATTTGATTGTTTTAAAACTTTTGTGTGAATGTTGTGCAATGCTACAAATATGTGTGGTTTGATATCATTACGTGTCAAGATTTCATTATAAGGGAAAAGAGACACAAATGCAAAGTTCAAGAAGTTAAGTAAATCTCCTGTAATTTTACAGTTAAAATGAAAACAAAATTATAAACCCATGATTTTACAAAAATGTATCCATGAAAGTGTCCAAGAGAAATAATGCCCAAGTAGTATTGACTACCCCTTATATCCAGAATTTACATTTGTATTATCCACTAAAAGGCATGGTTCTCTTTTCTAAAAAATAGCTGTTTCCAGAGATCACAGGGAAGATACAATGGATTGGGACATTTTTTGTTCCAGAAAGCAAAAAGGCATTCCAAGACCAACAGAGTCCTGTCAAAAGAACCTAGTACCCAGGCAAAGGAGATTCTACTGGTCAAACTTAATAATGTCTGAGCAAAGAAACAAATGATAAATGTATTTGATTGAAGCATGTTGAATATGTACAATTTCAGTCCATAATCATACACACACACACACACACACAGACACGTAAAAAAGGTTTCCATTGGAAAAGACCAATTCCTTCCTTGGAAATTAACGAGAATGAATTAAACATTTAAACGTTCATTTTATTGACCATGAAATGTCACCAAATAGCCCTAATTGATGAGGGAAAACTCTTTTTATTGTAGAAGAGAGTTATAGACGAGATGACAGGGGAAATGATACCCCCATTGACTAGCTCCTGATAGATATTTGATTCGGGCAAGGATCATCAATGAATGCTAAAATCATTAAATGGAAAGTTGATGATGCTAAAAAAATAATGACACACAGATATCTCCTAATGGTAAAGGGAAAAAGGTAACTTTGTGATGGAGAAAGCTGGTTGCTGGTATCATGAATAATGCATCAGCCCGTCATCTTGTGCCTCCTAATGTGGGGCAATATGAAGCATTTTGTTAAATTGTGGTTAAATGTACATAACATAAATTGTGCTATTTTAACTGTTTTTAAGTGAGCAATTCAGTGGCATTAGGTGCATTCATTGATGTGCAACTATCACCACCATCTATCTCCAGAACTCTTTATCTTCCCAAACTGAAGTTCAGTACCCACCTTACACTAACATATTACCCTCTCCCCAAAGCCATGGTAACCACCATGTTACTTTCTGTCTCTGAGAATTTGACTACTTATTCTAGGAACCTTATATATGTGGGGTCATACAATATTTGTCTTCCATGACTGGCTTACTTAACTCAATAGGCCTGTAAGTTTCATCCATGTTGTAGCATGTGTCAGAATTTCCTCCTTGTTAAGGTTGAGTAATATTCTACTGTATGTATATATACCAAATTTCACGTATGCATGCATTCATTGATGGATACTTGTTTAGCTTGCACCTTTTGGCTGCTGTGCTAATGCTGCTATGAACATGAGTATATAAATGTGTGTTCTAGTCACTTCTTTTAATTTTGGGGGTACATACCCATAAGTAGAATTTCTGGATCCTACGGCAAATCTATGGTTAATTCTGCATGAATGAGCCAGTGGCAAGTGTGAAAAATGAGCCCAGTGCCCTCTCTCAAAGTCACAGACTATTCCCCCAGCAGGTGGTCAGAGTTAAGGTGTCCTGTTAAGCTCAGGAACCACCTGAACTTCCATCCCCTTCCTGCTCGGGACACCTCCCATGCTCCTGCTTTGCACTCCCCACCCTGACCCTGCAAAGCCTCCACTGCCCACTTTAGACCCCCTCGCATGGAAACAGCAAATCCTCCTCCAACCTTTCATGACTTTGCCTTTACCGAAGCCTTGCTCTCCCCAGAGAATCGCATTTCTCCAGAATTCTCCCAGTTGGAGGCCATTTATCTCCTTCTATTCCTCCCCTACCCTGCAGGACTAGGGCACAGTAGGAGTGTTCTCCTTGCTCTCTGTTGCCTCCTCCAGGCCCTTCCTCCTTCCTCCTGCAATATCCCAGCTCCTCCCCACTGTCATCGATGGACACCTTGCCCCTTCCCATGTCTTAGCTGAAGAGATCACTCTTGCAGCCTCTGGTCAGATCCCATCTTCCTAGACCACCCTGTCAGAAGTCACTCTACCTTCTCCCCATTTCTTCCGTAGCTCATCACTCTCTTTATTTCCCTCATAGGGTTTAGATTCTGAGATTTTTAAAAATTGTTTTATTTATTCATTTGTTTAGTGTAAGTTTATCCTCATTAGAATAAGTCAGGGTCCTTGTCTTTATATTTCACAGATACAACCTCACTACCTAGAATAGTGTCTGGCACTGTAAGGAAAATTGGCCTGCCTGAAATTACGTTAACATGACTATACAGCTGAATTAATAGTTACATGAAGCTCTGCCTTTATATTTTATCCAAATATCCGATTTTTCTAGAACTATTGATGGAATGATAGGATTCCTCCTCTCTAGCATGCAAATTTTTTTTAACTCACATATTGCATGGTGATAGAAGGTATGTTTCATGATTTCCTATTGTCACTTGATGCATTTGTCTGAGTATTTGCTAAAGCCAGACTGTTTTAAATAGTGTGACTTGACAAACTTTATAATAACTAGTAGGGAAATTTTATTATCCCATTTGAAGGTTTTCAGAGGAAGTCTCTTTCCTCTGAGCGTTATAGTTTAGATTACTGGGACACTGTGAATGTAAAATGATAATGGAACAAATTGTGAGTGGTAAAAAAAAAAAAAACTCCTAAATTTGATTATACAATAAAAGGACCTAATGTATGTTGCTAAACACCAGAATGAAACTTGGGAGTAGTATTTGCACGATATGTAGTGGTATCTGTGTAGGGGTCAGACAGAGGCTGTGAGTCCTTTTTGGGCACCAGGTCACACTGCCCCCTGGACCAGCCCCAACCTGCCATCAAGCTGCCCAACTGCCCAACTGCCACGGAACGTGCAGATAGATGGGAGGGACACTCCACTCAGCCTCTCTCTCTTGGAAAAATCTGGGAGCCAGTCTGAAAGAGAAAACATGAATCCTGAGCACACTTGGGATTTGACCCATGAACTGAACAGAAAGGAGACAACTAGGAAGTGTGGCTGGAGGAAAGTGCCAGAGCCCGGACATCCGTGGAAAGGCTATTCCAAGAAGAGCGTGAAGCTGCCCTGGCCGTTGCCTGCCGCAGCACCTCTCCACCCTTGGAGCCCTCTCTTGTCTGAGAAGGAGACACCAGAGGCAGGAAGGAAAAGAAGGACCTCTGTTTCTGGGAACCTGACCATCTGACGTGGAAAACTCCTTCTGAAGGAGCTGGTCAAAAGGCATGGAAGAACCTCCCTGCCAGCCAGGCAGCCAGAAGAGCCTTGTGTTGGTCCGGGAATGTGGAGTATCACATTCAGCATCAGGCTGGTGGCCAAGGAGGATAAGCCAGAAAGAGCAGGCGTCACAGAAAGGTACAGATGTCTGATTATCTCGCAAGTTCCTCCTCCTTTCATAGCCAAGTTCCTGGAGGATAACGTGGTGTGGGAGACTCCAGACATGCTTGATCAGGATTCGGAAGCTCTGGATTTGTAGAATTGCTGAAAATTTGTAATCGCTGGTAAGTGAGGTCAGGACACCTATGAGTTAAAAATAAAAGAACCAAAGGGTTATTATTATCCTTAAAAGATGTTCTTACAGTGAAACAAAGGAAAGACTGGCTTTCCAATGGGGGAAAAAGTCAAAGGATATTCAATAGACAATTTACTAGTGAAGAACTTCAACTTAGAAATGCACATGGAAAAATAAGCAATTTTCAAATGAAAAAAATCAAAATGATAAAACACATTAAGTCACCAATTGAGACAATATGTAAAAAATGTTAAACATGATAGTTTGGGTGAAGTGGAGAAGACCTAGGACTTCCAGTGAGTGTAAAAATATTATGAGCTTTCTAAGAAGAGATTTGGCAGTAGGTATCAAGCACTTTAAAAATCTTCATTGTCTTTGAAATAGTAATTTTATTTTTAGGAATTAACCCAAAGAACTCACTGGAGATGGAGACGAATATTTACAAAGATGCTATTTGCAGCATTTTTGTAATAAAAACAATGAAAACAAACTAAACATATAGGAAATGCCTAAGTAATTAAGATAATATAATAAGCACTACACATTCATTAAAACAGTGTTTTAAAGTAATGGCAGCAACATGGAAAATATTCGCTATCTAATGTTCAGTGGAAGAAACTATATAGTGCAAAACTATATAGTGTGATTACCTACAAGCCATAAAACCACTGAACTGTGCCTCGGGCATTACCCAGGCCCCTGCAATAATTTTATGGATGAAGAAATTAAGGTTCGGAAAAGAAATGAAGGATCGAAGAGGATAAATGACTTCCTCAAAGTCACAGAGTTGCTTAACAGCGAGTGGAACCAGGATGGGGAAGTCCCTGCTCTCTACTTCCCATTCGATGGTTCCGAAATTTGCTCCTATTTGTTTCCTTACTCATGATATGCATTTGTAGGAACTCCCAATCTCGTACCTTGTATCATTAATCCCCCCTTTCTCTGCCCCTGTCTTCCTTAGCATTACCCTCATCAATCCATTATGTCTCTGAGTCAAACCGCCTCATCTCCAAATCCTCCTGTCCCCAGGAAAGAGATTTCTTTTCTAACTACCTCGCACCCTCTCTTCTCCAAATGTTTTTGTTCACCTTATCTGTCTCATATCATCAACACTTTAAGAAATATGCATTCATGAGAGAAATGTCCCTAGGCCTTCTCAAATCCACAAATTGGAAAATGCCACTTTTACATATCATTTTCTCCATAAAACGCCATAAAGCATAACAAAATTTTAAGTGACCCCCTTAGACAATTAATGATTCTATAAATTCAGTGCTAAAGTCTTTTACACAGCTATTAAAATAAATTCTGGCAGAAGTAATTGCTGAAATAGTTTCACAGATTGCTTACTCTTGTTTCTCTGTAGAGTGCATGGTAATTCTTGAGTTGAATGACTTTTTTTTTTGGTTCTGAGAAATATAAGTTTTTGGAACCACTTAACTTTCATCTCAAACTTAGTTGTTGACTTTCAAGGTCATTTATTCAGAAGAAATAAATGTGTGTCTTGGTGGTGTTTATTTTTTGCGTTTTGTTTTCATTTATTTAATGCAATCATAAGCCATAGTGAACAGACAGTGCTGAATAGAGAATAAAGTTGAGTCACAATTTAGCTGCTAAGAAGCTGATTAAATTCACCTAAGACCATTCTGTAATACTACATTCAAATTCATGAGTTCCGCAAAATTACTAATTATTATATGTTCCCAAACAATTAAAAAATTGAATGTTATCCAGAAACACCAAGAATCTATTCTGTTGTTTTGTTTTCTGGTAGATTTTGATACCTAGTCAAACATTTTATTGTCTAGGGTCTATTTTTTAAATCATGCCATGCCTACTTTATCTCCCTTCAATGAGCTGATGTACGTTGTTGTGTTCCTAAACTGATCTCTAGCACCATTTTAAACACATGTCAACAATTGTTCAGTACTTACCTGTTTGTCTGACAAGACATCTGCAAATGCAGCAGGCCCGGATTAGTAATTAGAAGAGAGGGAAAATTAAAAGACCCCTTGTGGTCTGATGCAACCCAACCTTTGATTTTCTACATTACTCCTAAGCAAATGCTTTGCTCTAAGAGATTGAAATGTACCGTGATCTATTAGGTCTTTTATCCTATGAAAATAGAATGAGAAGTATGTCATTTAATACTGCAGTCCCTAACCCCTGGACCTTGGACTGGTAGCAGTCCATGGCCTGTTAGGAACCAGGCTGCACAGCGGGAGGTGAGCTGTGGGTGAGTGAGTGAAGCTTCATCTGTATTTACAGCCACTCCCCATGGCTCGAGTCACTGCATAAGCTCTGCATCCTGTCAAATGAACAGCGGCATTAGATTCTCACAGGAGCACAACCCTGCAGAAAACTGTGCATGGGAGGGATCTAGGATATGCACTCCTTATGAGAATCTGATGCCTGATGAGCTGAGGTGGAGCCAAGGTGGTGATGTAGACCCAGAGAGTGACTGCAAATGCAGACTATCATTAGCAGAGATATTTGACTGCACAATAAATGTAATGCGCTCAAATCATCCCCAAACAATAACCCTCCCCCCTCGATCCCCACCATCAGTCTATGGAAAAATTGTCTTCCATGAAACCGATCCCTGCTGCCAAAAATGCTGGGGACCTCTGATTTAATACACCAAACAAAAAGGGGCAAATTGCATTGCAAATGTATAGTTGAGCAATCAAATTCCACTGTTCCTTGCAGGAAATAAAGATATAGGTGGATACCTTAATAGTCATGCTCTTCTTTACTTCCCAGCAAATACCAGTTCACCCCAGAACTATTGGATAAGTGTGTCAAAAAGCATAGTCTGTCTTCCTCATGCTAAGGACTATGAAAAGGCCTAGAACATGGTCCAATGTGGAGGAAGCCAAGATTTCTAACTGGTGACCTAGAGGCAGGTGTTCATTATGACATGCATACTGGTGGCTTTCAGCAAGTCAATTATTTTCGATTTGTACGTCATCTTGACTATCTTTCTGGTGTAAACTCACTTTGGTTAAGGGAACATTTAAAAGATCTTTTTCTCAGTGATTATGATAAAGCTCACCAGCTGTTAACAACTCTTTGTGTCTAGTGAATAAATCTCAATTAGATTTCAAATGATAAATACTGTGTACCCTACCACCATTCCCATATGCAATCATAAACAAGTCATCGCAATTTTACCTCCTAAATATCCCTCAAATGCATCCACCCTTCTCTGTTTCTGCCACCATCATTCAGTTCCACGCTACCCTACACTTGCATTCTGACAACCGTTTTCCATTCTGGTTCCTCACCAATCTCTTCCTCTTGTGACAGAGACAGATTTAGAAAATATAAATCTGCCGTCAAGTTTAGGCTCAAATGTTTCAAAGCCTTCCTAGTACTGTCGGGATAAGTATCGAATGCACAAGATAAAAAATCCCACCACCCAAGGGCCTGGTATCCCTGCACACCTGGGCTGATTCCAGCCGCATGCCCTCCCGCTGTCTGCATCTTCTCACTTCCGCCCAGTTGCCTTCAAACCCACCAGGCTGAATGTCACTTCACTTGTGGAGAGTGGAACCAGCGTGGATGGGAGAGGAGTGGGGGTGGGGGTGGGTAAGGTTGTATTCCTTTAAGTTTCCCAGGTGATTGTAATGGCACAGTTGAGAATTATATCTCCCAAGTCATTTGGGTCAGGTTACTTTGTTTTGAATTTTTATGGAAACTTACTATCTTCATCCATAGTACTTGTTCTCATTTGTAATCTTACACATGATCATTGGCTTGAAAGCTACTTGGGAATAAGGTCTTTGCTCACCATAGTGGGCAGGTGCCTACGACCGCAAAGTAGCATCTCAGTAATGACTTGTTCAATGAGTGAATGAATGAAGGAACAGCTACAAGCTCACTGATTATTTTATTTAAAACATTTACTATGAAATGGCACATATTCGTTTTAAAGACTATGGAAAACATGTTTTAAAAATACCTATAATCTCACCATTAAAAAATTACAATTAAACCTGGATTACATTTCCTTCTAGAAGGTCTTTTTTTTCCCTAGGCACATATATTTAAATATTATGGGGATACTACTGTACACTCAATGTTACTACCTTTAAAAAAATGTAATGCTCTTTTCTCATAATTCTCCATACTATAAATGGCAGGACAGTAATCCACCAATGGATGTCTTTTTTTCCCCATTTAATACTTATGTGCTTTCCATTATTTTCACATTAAAAATATAAATTTTCTATTGAAGTGTTTTATTCTAAAGTTCTGATTACTTCCTAAGGAAAGATTCCTAAAAAATGAATAAATATTTTGATACTTCTGCAACATTTAAATTTTCAACAGCAGTATATGAGGCAACATTGTTGTGCTCATGACAAAGAAATTTTCTTGCATTTGAGTTTTCAGATTGTTTTCAAATATTAGCTTTTGTCTTCATTACCGAATGTTCATGTCCTTTTTCTTTTTTCTAGTAGTATTCGGTATTTATTTCTTACATATTATGACTTATTTATAAGAGGTATCAAAATTTGTACCAATTATTTGTTATAAAAATGTATTACTTGGGTTTAATTTTATGTTTATGAACTATAAAGAATTTAATTTCTCTATAAGCAAAGAAATCTATTTTCCTTTTATGATTTTTTTCTTCATTCTTTTTATGCTTAGAAAGTTTTTTTCCCCTGCTCCTATGCAGGAGTAGATAAATAGTAACTGGATTTTCTTCCGGTTTTTAGGTTTTTTTCCTTTGTTTTATAGACATTTGTTTGTCAATCTCATGTCTCCTCTAAAATCAAGCTCTACAATTAAGGGGAAACATGGTTTAAGAGGAATAATCCATGCTTTGGGTTGAAAGGGTTGGGGCTTTGATTCCTGATCAGATCTATGATCTTACACAAGTTAACTCACATCCTTGAGTAAATTGGGTATCATCTCCATCAGGACCGTAATTGTAAAGGAGATATAAAATGGCTAGATCTAGAAGGTGTTATTTCTTCTCCATTCTTCCCTTTGCACA